CCCGTTCCGCAGTGTTCGGATCGTACGGTATTATCCGAGTGGTGTTCCGTTCGGGGTCGTGTTCAAAACCGGAAGTATTGTCGTACGATTCAGTAAATTGTTTGATGATTTTTTCTAATTCTGTTTCTATGTTATTGAAAACGTCGAAATCGTCGACGACTTCGGCAAGCTCGACGATTACCCTAACATTATGCGTAGCTTTTAATTTGCCTCGATATAATTCGGGAATTGGCGTACAAAACGCATTGTAAAACGCGAGCAACTGACTGGACATGTGGTGCGCATGCTTTTCGATGTCGAGGCTCTCCTCGTTCACGGTTTGTCGGATTGTCCGGTCGTGGTCACCGGCTGGTCTGGCGACGGTCTTGTGTTTGTAATAGTTCTGCAAATTTACCAAAATGTCGTACACTTCTCTGCGGAATTCCGTTTGAGTGTACGACAAATGTTGTAGGCACGAAAGGGCGCCGGTCATGCGCGAAACCACCGGGTGTTTATTCCGGATTACCTGCGCGTAATCCTCTAGACGTTTGAACAATATCGCATCCGCGCCCGTCTTCCTGCACTGAGGTCCTATGCCTACCTCGTAGTCACACAACTCCATCAGCACTCTGGCGTACGCACAGCTCAAGAAATGATGGGCTTGTCGGATTTTGTCATCCGCGTTTGCTTCGGTCACCCGTGTCGCCAGCATTTGGTTCACGGACAATCGGTTCTCGGTATCGCCTCGTCGCTCTATAATGTGGAGACTGTCGTTCGGGTAGGCCAGCTCGATCCATCCGGAACACGACAACAGCTCTCTTATCGTGTCCGCGGGGTGTGCAGCGCAATAAAACGCAATAAAACACAACACATACGACAAGTGTACGGCCGAAAAATCTAAAGAGAACTTCATGTTTGATGCGGATTAACTAGACGAATTGACCGAATTTTTTTTTATGTATAATGAAATTGACAAAATATGACAATGTCGCGCCTACGTGTCGCGTATCTAACAAAAAAAAACGATATTAGTAGTTTGTCGACGTTGAATTAGTTTTGCACGACGAGAGGGAAATGGGTAACGTTTTCTGGGGCCACGTTTTATTTGCATAACGCGACTTTTGTAAGGTGTACACCTACAGCGCAAAAACAAAAAAATGATGCGTGTATATTGTACGTGTACAATATAATGAAAGTTGTTTACAACAAAATGTATTGTTTATGATACAGTTTGTATTCGCGAAAAAAATATTAAATAACAGCTACAATAATCACACTTAGTCAATATATACAAACGGCAACAACTCGGTTGTAAAATTTCTCGAAAATACTGGCCATTGGCTTATCAAGGCAATTCAAATTATTTCAAAACAATTTTTTTTTAAAATATAGTGACAACTCTTATAGCAAAACTTTTGAAATATTTTATCCTTCGCCGTTACAAATATGTATTGTAAGACGATAAAACATTTTAAAATACGTTTATTTTTAATTTAACGTTTTTAGTAATTTATAAATTTTTTTATGTTATGTTGGTAGTTTTTCGCGTATTACCGATTATTTTTCGAATGCTTATTGGTGATCTACGAGAACCGCGGCTGTGATCAAAATTGTGTTTACCAATCCAACTCAACAGCAATATTCGTTTTCGACGTACCTGTATATGAAATGTAGGTACTTACGCATTATTAATTTTTACCATACCTGTTTTTTGCTTTTGAGGAAAATGTAATATTCTTTTGAACGCAATGATATATGAAAAATCAGTTTAGCAGTTTAGAAAACCATTGTGAGTCCAGGTACAAAAAAATAAAATAATAATAAAAAGACAGCCGAATTTGCTGAATAACGCCAACAGTAATAATATTAATATTTAGTTTTGTGGTAAGTCAGGCGTTCACCTTTTGTCACTAAACTTTTGAAACGGCAATCCCTAAATTTTGCCAAACAAAGTTGTAACAATTATAAAGCGGCGTGGTTACTTCGTTTACAAGATTTTACCCATACTAACTACATACTTACATTACTTACTTACTACTTATAAGTTATTACCTATATAATAATATTTACCTATGCAGTGTTAATATTATTTTACTTTTAGACTTTAGTGTTAACAGTTTGTCGCTCTACTTAATTGAGTTTCTCTGGAGATTATAATACATAATACTCGAACTGTAAAATAAAAACGCTATGTAATATCGGATAATTGTATAAATAGGAGGCGAACACATTCGGTATTTCGCTAATTTAATTAAACTGTTTCACAAAAGTGTCTTATAATTAAATAATACTCAGTTAAAAGCTTTCAGAGATTACGTTTAAAATTCACTAACGCGACAAAAGTACAATATTTTTATTCCAAATATTACTTATTATATTAAAGACTTGGAATTCCGTGTAGTTACCCTTGACTAAAACGAGATATTTTAACTATTTCTAATTATGCTATAAGCTTAAAAATAGAATGCAATTGGTAAAAAAAAAAGTTTTTCCTTAACCTTTAATTGATAAGACACTTGTATTTAGTGTTAGTTCTAATTGTCTTTTATTCGATATCGTAGCTTAATAAAATTAAATCACTTTAGAGCGCGCATGTTGAACACATCAAAATTGTTATAGCTAACTATTGTTCTTTTACTCCATTTAAAAGTTCAAGTAATTATAATATTAAAAAAAAATTATTTTTTTACATTTACCGGGTTTCAGGCCCTCGTGGGCTTTTAGCAGTAAAAAAAAACAACTATTACCGAATTGAAAGAGGCCATTTTTTTAGCGCACTCAAGGGTCAATTTTAATTGTCGGTAAAAAAGTCAAAGCCCTTTCATAAATAACAAACATTTATTTTTATCTTATTAATGTGACGTGACTTGTTTCAAAGATAAAAAAAAGACCGTCTTATCACGACCTCATTTCGCGTTATATACTCATTCAATATTCACTAACTGGCGGACAAAGTAATTTTTGTTTAGGTGTGTAATTATTATTGTCTTTTTATAAAACTGTATTGTGTACAAAAAACAATGTAACTTTAAATAATCATTGTGTACGTTGAAAATCAATTTTCTATCCGTAGGACGTCTGGTGCATTTTTGGCTCATTAATATTGTAAAGTTTAAACTAAATCTAATGATATAATAGCCGCATCCTCGATCCTTAACATAAATGGGGCCGGCCAGCCAATTACCCTATCTCTGCATTTCTTTATTTATTTCCACATAGCTACACACACACACACTCATGTCTGTATATATAACATTAACCAGCCATCTTTTTTATGGTACACCTTATCTCCAAATTCCTCTACATTAATCTCTCTTAACCGCTTTTCTGTTTTCTTCCACTATGGTCCAGAGGCAACCGTTGAACAAAATATTTTAGAAAAAATAAGTCTCACACCCGAAGTACATATTACGTCTATGCACTATTTAAGTTCTATTTCTTATGTCTATTAATTGCAATCAGTAATATATTTTCCTAAAATTAATTGAGTGTTGATTTATCGTTGTGAAACTTTTTCATGGTTTGTATTTTGCCAGTAAAACAATAACAACGCAAACCAAATCATTTGCAACCTCACAATTATTATATGTTTATTTTCACTTTGCATTTTGTTTCTGAACAGACTGAAGTTGGTGTTTAGATAAAATGAATAAAGCAGATTGATTGGCTTAACGGGTATATGGTTAATGTATCAACAACGTTTCAACGGGTTTGCAAAGTTTAAGACTTATATAAGTAATAACAATGAAAATATTACATAAGAGCATCGCGTTTACAATGAAATGTCTATATTGTTATAACTCATTTATTTTTTACCGTACTATTTTTTTTTTTATAATGTAACTATTGTCAAATATACACTAATCTAAACTCGTGTGTGCGTATTTCGCATTACTTACACATTGTTTGAACTATTTATAAGATAAAAACGGCTTCGCCGGTATGAATCACATATTTTAACCTTGTTCGTTTTCCACGTCATGGTGTACATCTAAATGTTATATCTGCGATAGGACGACACAAGTCAACAAGTCGCTCTTTCCCAAGTCTTGACAAAACACAATGTTAAAATCTTTAATTGATACTGAAATTCAAAAAATTGATTTGGTATTTATACAATTATAATAATCAACATATTTCTTAAGTAGTGCGGTTAACAATGAATATTGCACTACACGAGGTCATTTCCATAGGGAAAGTTGAAAAATAATTTTTGAAAAGTGTTTTCCCCATTAAACATAAGTGTAAATAAAAAAATAAACAATTTAATGATATTTCCTGTAAAACAAGGTAGTTAACACAGGGTTGGTTAAGTTAAAAAATTTAATAAGGAGAGAGTGCGGTAAACTATCGTTTTTAGATGCGCGTATTACTCAACCGCACACTACTTCACCTTCAGTTGTAAATTTTAAGCTCTAATAACTTTAAAAGTAATTATCCAAAACCGGTTATCGACCAGTCAAAATTGTCAGCAAATTTTTCTTAGCATAAAAAATTCATTAAATACGTACGCGGTACCATCAGAGCTCTAGAAAAAAATTAAATAGTCGGTAATTTTATAGTGTACCTACTGCGTAAAATACATAGATCAAAATGTTTTCAGTTGAGAAAGAGCTCTACTGGAACTTTACCAAAAAACGGGTAAATATTTATAGTAATTTTGTACTATTTTAAAATAATATAAACGCGAATGTTTTCAAAAAGAAAAACTAGAAAATCGCAAACAATTGTTTTGCCAGAAAGTCAGTGTTCTAACTGGATGTAAATCGATCACCTTGATGTATTTCGATATTAGTACCCGGATTTTTTTTTTTTGGGGGGGGGGTTCTACGGGGACACGACCGAAACAATGATAATAATGTATCGACAGGAATTTTTGTGCGGCAGACCGTGAGAGACTGGCATAACGTCTCCTACAAGCTAAGCTTTTTTTTTTTTTTTTGTTTAATTTTGGCGCCTGACTAGTCGGCCGATTCGGTTTGGACTCGCCGGCAGCACGCGCTCAGTCTGTGCTCACCGCCGTCGACTAACGGCCGCCCGTCCCTGCACAACCCGACGTCTGCCGGTTTGCATTCTAAGTGCGTTTTTTTCGCCGCCGTTATTATTGAATTTAGTACTTGTTTTTTGACAAAAACTTCTTTTCGAAATTCCTACGTGACCCGGGTGTTCAATCGCACAGTATTATATGGTACATTAAAAAAGGGAAAAAATGTGAACGGGGTCAGTTTTTTATCGCAAACGTTACATTTATATACATATATATTATTTACGCACGAGGATATAATAATAAAAGAGAAAAAATACGGTCAGTACATTTGAAATTTATTACAATTATTTTATTATTATTATTATTATTTGTTATTAGAATATTTCAGATAATAAAACATATTGTATAGTCGAGAAAGTGCGCGGAATCATTAAAAAAAAAAAATTGTAATTTTTTGCATAGAAATTTATTATTGACTAGCTAAATTTTGAAAAATGGTTAGTCACCGTATCGATATGTTGTAAATAAACGATTCAAATGCAAGTATTTTTAGCAACGGTTTTAAGTAGAAAGGCGTTTTGTACAGAAATAGGGCTTGTTGGGATGTAAGAGAAATGAATATCAAAATAGATACCTCTTTCTTGTGTTAACGTATGAGTTTATACGTGGGGTAGTTTATGGTGTAGTTTTATTAAAAAATTGCATATACTAAATGCGCCTTAATAAATGCTAGTGTAGAAATGGCCCCTTAGAGGGAAATTAAACCTGGCGGTTTTAAAGGAATATAATATACAAGCAGTGTTCAAGAAAAAAAAGAGTTTCTTATACATTTCGATCCTGTCAATTTGTTCTTAGGTTAAAAGTCTTTATTTAGAAGCTTAAACTGCATAGGCGATACTTATTGTAACTAATACAGTAATGAGCATTTTGTTTGGTTGTTATTTTTTTTTTCATAAAAACCTTTTGGTCGCATATCCAGTGTTGTCGAGCTGACCTACAATAATAATTTATTATTAGGATTTGAAAGATTGTAAGTTGGTCTGTGTTTTTTTAAAATCTCTATACGTGTACTATTTAAGTCTTTACCATTATTTTCGACTATGGCTTTAAGTGATAATAAAAATATTCGTTTAAATAATATGTCATAGTAATGGTCAAATTGCAATGAGACACATAGATGACAATAAATACTATAACGTTTTTTTTTTAGAGATATTATTAAAATTATAACCTGTTAATATAAGGTATAAGTATTATACCTAAAAATTAAAATACTATTTATACTACCAACTTGCTGTGTGAAAGGTAATGGTTTTACAACAGTATATTTTGTATCTGTCTATATATTGTGTGCACACTTTCAGGCGGGTTCCTGGTCGTTTTGATAGATTTCCAGTGTTCTATTTATTTATATGGCCAAATCGATTATTTCCAGGAAAATTTTATTTCTTCTATTGTACAGAGTACTTTAAATTAAAACAGGTCTTATAAATTGGTAAAATTGTCTATAAAGAATATTGAAAAAGTTTAGTTCATTTAATTTTAGTTTTGAATAATTGTTATTTTTTATTTACTTATAACAAACAGAATACTATGAATCCATGAAAATGAACTTTGATCAATTTTTAAACAATTACACAAAATAGTTTAGTGTAAAAAGAGACAATTTTTGTTTTTTACTTGAGCCATTAGAACTAAAACTATTAAGGACGAAACTTATCTTGGACATGCATGTTATATGGCATTCGAATAAAAATAAACAAATTATTTTTTTACTGTGGAAAGATTGGAAAAAAAAATAATCAACATTAATGCTTGTTTTATATAGTTTAGCATTTGTTACGTAAGTATATAACAGTTTCAATGAATTCTGTACACAATTTTTTTTTAAGGTTAATTGATACAAATTGTTTTAAACAATACTTGGAAAATAGTAACATTTTAAATGTTAAAATCGATTAGTTGTCTATGTACAACTGACAAAATTTAACGAGATACGAACGTCACGAAGTTATATATATATAGATAATTTGCGACCAATTATCTTTATCATTACATAACAAAGGTCAGTTTGGCATCAGTTAGCCAAACAATTAAAAATTACAATACACATAAGTCTCCCCGTGCAGACACAATAGAAGAAAAAAAACCATTCAAGTCACAATGAAGTAACACAATATAATATATACTCGGGTACCTACAACATTTCTAATATATTATTTATTCTACCTCCACATAAAAAATAATTTAATATTTAACCTCTTCTATTATAACCTGGTGGTTTGGTAACTTTGAGTACTGGTAATGTGTCTCTGGTTTTTTTTTCCTAATAATAAAGACAAATGTGCCAGCACGCCAAGTATACTTTTTAATATTCTACAAAACATATTTTTTTCCTTATTATATTATTTTTGGATTTCGACATTTATAAATGAGCATATATAATTTACAATTTTTATTTTGTATTAATTTTTTTCTACAATAATACGTTACAACAATAACCGCAATGTTTGGACTTCAGGTCCTGGATGTACTAATACAATATGCACTTGTTGTTCTACTATATTTCTTCGTTGTACAACAGCTATCTAGTCATCTGTCGTAGAAGGAGGAAGATGCGTAATAAATAATAATATCATCCCAGATAATTTCGGTAGCAGAGCGTCGTGGCCTTAACAGAAATTGATCTGCGCTCAGTTGAATTGTTATTGAACGCGTGACCGCAGTAGTTAGAAGCATTTTAAACGTTCGTCCAATTAATTTCAATGGTTCGCAAATCACAAATACAACTCGATGAATATTGGAAGCACCATATAATATGTATATAATAATAAATAATAGTATTAAAAAATGCTATTACTGAGCTCGTACAAACTACGAAGCCTTGAGTTAAAAAATATGGAGTATTTTTGTTGAACGCTAAAATATATAGTTATTTGATTGGGTTATCGCAGTCTCCGGGTCTCGGAAGACCTCAGAAAGCGCTTTCGAGTCAATCCTAAAGACTTTGAACGATGCCATTCATTACTAAACATAAACGATTAAAATAAACTTGATACAAGTTTGATTGATGTTTATATTGAAATTATTTGCAAACGGCATCCGTATGATTAAAACCAACCCTGCTGGCGAATAAAACGGCAAAGGTAAGCTATAGCGTACAGATAAAAGTATCCCAAAAGGGAATGTCGTGCTGGTTCTGAAAAATCTCTGAAGATATACCAGTGTCCGAAATTCTTGGCAGTTATTCCCTTACGGGCAATACCAGCTAGTCGAGAACGGTGTGCAAATTGTTTATAGCTGCCATACATCAAGCAAAATACCGTTTGAAAGAAAAAAAAGTAGAACAACGACACAAAGTTAAATTTCTAGACTTGACGAAACACAAACGTTTCAATGACTATAATATTTTTACACCGTTCGTGCAAAACACATCAAGTCCAAAATGGCCGTTTTCTTGATTATTACAGTACAATATATTATATAGCGACGGAAAAATACATCAGTTTCCGATGATTACAAATTATAATAAACATCTGTATATTTTAAATTCAATGTTAATTACAAAGAAGTTTAATGGCCACAATGATATTATGGCTTTTGTAAACGAGCAGTTAATTGCAATGAATATAATGAATATGGTTTGCCCCGAATGATAAAGTGGCCCGATTAAGACAAGTCATTCTTGGTTCCCTATATAATCCATCCGATCAAAACCATAAAAAAATTATTCAATTTTTTTTTTATCAAAAGTGATTGTCAATCAAATTCAATTTATATTTTATAAAATTATACTGTAAAAAAAAAACGTTACAGCGTTAAGCCAAGAGAGCTTTATCTGGCCGCGTAGAAGATTTTATTATTTTTTTAACATTACTCGAATAAATTATGAATAATAATAATAACATATAAATCGTAATACATTTATAACGAAGACCAAACAAACGTGATATCTTTAAAAAGCGATTTAAAAAGCCCGGGTATGGAATATTAAAACTGCAAGAGACTCAACAGCGAAATAAACTATACGGTACAATCGATTATGGTACAGATTTAATAATATTATTTATTTGATATTAAAAAAATATATGTATATACAGGGTGATCAACTTATCTCGAACCACTCAATATCTCACTGGGTTTAATAAATAATTTAATTTTTTTGTCCATAATGTTTTTGTACAATATATGATTTCTCATAAATTTAAAAAGTCAAAGAAACGTATGCGTTACTATTTAAGTTTTAAAATTTGCTATCAAAAAAAAAACAACGAATTTAGGGGGGGGGGGGTAAAAAAAAAAATGGTGAAAAATTGAGTTCACATTGAGATAAAAACACTATGTAAAGAAAACATTTAATTTCTCATTAAACCTAGTGAGGTATTGAGAGTGGTTCACGATAAATTGATCACCTTGTATATCGCTGTCAGGAAATGAGTTTAAGTCAATAACGGAGTTAATATAACAAACACGATCAATATAATCAATATATGGTATTGTAATAAATATTTAAATTGAAAAAAGAGACGTTTTTTGTTTTTTATTTTTCGAGTTAAAAGTATTGCACGTGTTTGAGGCACTCTGAAGAACGGTTTAAGTATAATCTCGGAAAACCTGAGAAAAACTTTAGTATTATTATTCTATTGGTCCTGTAAGTACCTTTAACGACAGCAGTACGGCGTTGAAAATAATTTATTAGCCCACAGTGTCGTTGAAATAGTAAACCATTTAACCGAATTGCCAAATGCCACCAACACTATAATATGTATCCAAAAGGTTTATAATGTATACAAATAACATCATACTATTTTTGTAGTTTAATGGTAACTAGTTTTACCTATTTTTTTTTTGTTGTTACTTTAATTACAATTTTGTGATTTTAACTGATGGGACGCGATAAACCCACAAGTCATAAGGATTTAATTAAAAATAATCTCTAGTCCTGTACTTTTTAGTTTTCACTTTTAAATCAATAATTGTTATTACTTATTAATTATAATTACAATATAATAATATAATCATGTTAATTTGTATTTGAAATGCGTTTGTTTTTTTATGTCCACAAACGTTGATATTAAATTGAATATGCGTTTTTAACTTTATGAATCTATATTGACTATTGATGTAGAATTAAAATTTCATGAGATTGTTAACGAAAATATAAAAAAATTACATGTATTTAACTTTACTGTGGGTTTTAGACTTGAAGAAAATGATAGAATATATTTTATAGTCTGCGTAAGATATGTTTTGTTATTTTGTAGGTAAATGCTAATTTTTGATATAATGGTTTCAAAGTTTAAAAACAAGAAAATGTA